CTATACTTACACATAAAAATATGAAGAAAATTTCTATTTATATACCAACCTCATTTTTATATAAAATATTTGTTATTGTATAAATGCGGTCAGAGGTAATCATTTTATTTGACATAATTCTTTTAAATGAGCTCTTTCATTACAAATCACTGAAAATTATAATAAAATCCAATTTAGAGGAACGGCTTTATTCATTAAAAAATAAGCTCCAAACAATAAATAAGAAAAAGGAGAGGTTGTTTTAGATATGTAATCTATTCTCAAGGTCATAGTCCCTGTTTTCAGCGGTTTAATCGCATACAATATGGAGCAGTAATGAGAGCAGCGCAGTCCTGGGCGACCACCACAGTTGCACAGATTAACAGAGTAATCACACCTGATTCCACTGTCCACTCGAAGTGCAATAAAAATGCAGCTTACTCAGAGCGCTGTAGTTGCAGTGATATACACAAATGTGTATAAGTTCATGCATGATATTGGTTAAGGGAGGCCTTATTTTCTTTTATTCATATAGAAAAGAATCTTATGAACCTATTTATTCTGTCTGATTATTTCTATGGTGAAACTACAGGCTGAATGAAAACTATAGGCTGAGGTTTAGAAAAAAAAAAAGTTTTGCCAGTTAGAAAGAAAATGACAAGTTTATAACAGGCCTGTGAGGAACTAAGTGGAATCATCATTTCTTTCATGACATTCAAGAAGTGACTAGCAAATCCTGTTGTCCATAGGCATTTGGAATAGGTTAGAGATCACAATTTATTATGAACCATAAGAAATTCTTTTGATTGATGACCTCTCCTTCAACTCATTTTTTCTCCAAGTTGCAGATGCAATTTAAAATAACCTGCACCCCTGTGTACATATTCAAATGAAAGGAGGAAACTGAGACAATTACATAAACAAAATTCCTTATCTGTAAAAAGGAAAGTCTGGTTACAAATCAAACAGGGGTAGTAATTTTTATAGTGTGTACTTCCACTGGCATATTTAATTCAAAGTTACTTTTCTTTTCTACACTAACAATAACATTAAGCAATACTGTAGAAAAAGTACTTGCCATTATAGATGTGACCAGGTGACCCTGCAAGAGGGTGATAAAGAACATTGGCCATTTAAGTTAAGAAAAACCAATTTTTAAAAAGTAACCTCAATTCTTAGGATGCTCAGGTTGAAGAAACAGAATAGGGCCTACACCATAGAAACACTGGCCTCAATCCTCTGCTTGACTCTGTAATGAACCTTATATTAAAACAGGAATAATTATTTTAAGAAATCACTGAAACTTTTGAAGCTTTCGAGCTATTTTGTTTCAAGTGTTCTTCTACCATGAAGAAAGGAAGAAAGGTATAGATGCCATCAAATTAGATTACTAGAAAAACTCTCTGCTTTACTTTATCTAATGTGACACATAAAGAAAACCCTGCACAAATATCTGTCTTTAATTTCTCCAGTGTAAAAAAAGAAATATATTGTGTCTGGCAGAATGAAACAGTTGAAATAGCCTGGGTACATTTTTAGAAAAGGGGGGAAGGGAAGAAATCAGATGCACACAATGAGCCTTCAAAGCCACTCCAGCAGCAGGGATAAATAATTTAATAAACTCAACTTCATATTCTTTTTAATTCCCCAGTGTAATGAGTACATATTAAAAAACAAAAACTTTAAATTCATGAGTAGTTGTGAATAAACCAGCTGCTGGCAGATAATGAGAACACAGAAAAATAGTATCTATACAAGCACTAGAACATGTTCATATCCCTTAACAGACATCTTTTTCCTGAAAGGTTACAACTGAAGAAAATTGTGAACTCACAATTCAAATTTAAATTGGTCATTTAATAAAAACACAGAAACCTTAAATGCCTATGTGTCTGAAAACAATAAAGTTTTTCTTTAAACCTATCTAGACACTGTTGCTACATTACTTTGTGCACCCCATAAAAACAAGCCCCTTGGCACAAGGGGACAAGTCACCTAGGAAACAGTGCTTCAGGTAAAGTTATTTTGCCATTGTTATATGAAATGCTTCAAGTGCTAAATATCACAACACCCGTTTTATATTCATAAATACATCTAAATTTTATGATAAAGGTGTTCTTGTGTTTTTCTTGAATAATTTTTTTTCTAATTGGTATACTTTAAATCCAGGCTGCCTTAGTAAGGAAAAGAAACGAGACCTTAAAATCCTAAATACCATTCCAATATAAGCATCTCAATGGTTACATCATTGAGAGTCTTGGGGTATTTCTTTTCCCTTCAATTAGGTCACTTTTCTTCAATTATCATCCTATTATTAGGCCATGTCAAGGATGTCTGCATGCATACCACTGAAAACAATTACCCATTTATGTCTTCAAACATGGGGGACATACAAGCTTTTCTTCTAACGGTAAGATCATAGCAAAAAAAAAAATGGATTGTATCATTACAGTTCTTTTATAAACTTTTCATGTAAATAAAAAATTTATGCCACCTATATGTTAAACCATCAGTTGAAACAAATAATAGGTCGATTTTTTTAAAAAAATAAAATTATCCATAGGCTAAATAATTTGCGGGCATATAACAAATCTACCGTCAAAACCTCGATTAAAATCTGGTGAATTACAGAAAATAGTCATTTTTAAAAATCCTCTCCACAAATCAGTTCAATTTAAAAAAATGAAGGGATGTTAAGCAGTCATCAGAACAGTTTAATTTTTCCTTCATCAATGAGGTGGTGTTAAGGATCCCAGAAAGGATTCAGCTACAGGCGCAATTCATTTCACATGCTCAGGGTAACAGACAACCACTGGGATGTAGCAACAAGCGCAACTGGCACGGGAGCATTATTCTAGGGCGCCCTGTACGTCCCCAAGGATAAAACAGAGAGGGTGAATCCTCTGTTATGTAAATCACTGTCAGCACCGGGTGTGGTGGGTGCTTTAAGAAGCAGTTCAGAACCCTCCAGCCCGGTGTTCTCCAAACCGAATGGCTTCACTTCCCCGCAAGTCTCTATAGACTAACGACTTTCTAGGTCCTTTTCTCACCAACTATTTTTCTTCCTTAAAGTGTAAATCGTTAGGGAACGACCTCGGCTGCACCAATTAGTTTGCACAAAGTGTTTTGGTGTTTAGCTTCGCTTTAACCCAATTAAGCAGCACAGCGAGCCCTGAAGATGCGCCACCTGCGCCCGGCTGCAGCCGGCGGCCGGCGCCGAGTCTCTCCGGTTGGACACACGGAACCGCCCGGCCTCCGCTAACCCCGCGTCATCCACAGCCTGGGGTGGGCACCGGGTGTGCTCGCCCCGGGAAAGGCCGGGGCCGCGCTCTCGGACCGAGCACCCTCGGCTGCCTCAAGGCCGAGGCACTGTGCGGCACAGCTACCGCTCGGTGCAGCCACTTAAGGGCCGGGAGGAGGCGAGGGCAGAACAGGGACTGCCAGAGGGCTTTTAAATCTTCTACCCACAGAGTAAAGCCCAAGGGCAGGTGAGCAGAGAGGGGAAGGAGAGAGGGCCTAGGTAGAAGTAGCCTGCGGGATGGGCTAGGACCTGCACTGCGGAGCGCCAAAGGGCCTTCCCCAGAGAACACTCCTAGTCCACCAGCTAACCTTCCCCATTCTGGTCCTCGGCTATGCAGAGCCTCCCCTAGCACCTCTTCAACTGCCCAAAGGTAGCAGTGCGCTTACCCCCGATGCTGGTAAGCAAAGGAGAACCGGCTTTGTGGGTCCTCAGTTCCCTCTCCTAAGGGAACAGTAGGGTCTTGGGGAAAGGAATAGAGGGGCATCTTTCTCACCCAAATGTGATGTACTATTTAACTCTAAATCGAATCTATCATTCTTGGGTAACAAGAAAGCAAATTAAAGGTGGCTCTGAGATGCTGTGTGTGTGTGTGTGTGTGTACCAAAGCTTGAGTAAAAAGTGGGAGACCTCAACAGTATCTTGTTATAAGTGCATACAAAGGTGTTACTGTAGGACTTCACTGGAAATATTCTTAATTGAAAAAACAAAACAACACCAGGCATCTGCACTAAACAGAGGCAAACTAAAAATCTGCCTAGGTTTTAAAACCACTATGTAACCCCCAACTAGTATTCCTTTAGTTCTTGGGTGCCCAGGACACACTTGGTGGGGGGGGGGTTCCATATAAAACCATTAACCTTAAGGTTCCAAAATTTAGTTTATTTCTTTGAAATTTTCCAAAATGAAATTTAAATTCCCCCCAAATGGAATGGCTGCCCTTAACCACCTCCCCTTAATCAAATCATTTGAAGCGCTATTAAATTAGTAGACTACTGTCTGGTCATCGCTAAGGATACCTGCAATAATTCTGTCCTTAACCACACATGTGCTAACACAGTGGGCAGAATGCTCACACCTGCAAGTGTTCTGTAAGGTTATGTGCCCATCTCTATGGTCCCTTCTAAATCCATGCTTTACAATACAACTCAGTATGTGGTGGCATTAAAATGATCTCTTAATCCCAGACATCATTTGTGAAAAGTATTCCCATAAATACATATAGTGCTCATTGTTGTGATTTTAGCACTAGGCACCCTAGTCAGTGGGAACTGCAGATGGATGTGAGCACTGTAAACACCCCAGTTTAAACCAGGCTAGAGAATGTCTACCACACTCAGCAATCATTGTCAGATTCCTCTTAACAAGTGTGAATGAGTAGAAATTTAGGTAAAATGAGGAGTGCACTGTTTACCAAAGGCTTAAAAAAACTGTTCTAGGGTAGGAACATACAGACTGAGAAAATGGCTAGGGCACTACTCCATCTGAAGCCAGTGTCTCTCTGAAGGAGCAAACTTTTAACTTGCATTTAACAAGACCCTAAAGATTAAAGGACATTAATTATCTTACTCTAAATGCAAGTTAGTGACTTTGCTTTAGAAAGGCCCATCTAGTTCACTAATTGATGGATGACCATTAATACACCTGTATTTGTGCTTTGGTGGTAAACAGACAGGCAGGCTTTTCAGCACAGGAGAGCCACTTTGCCAAGTCTTTTTGAAACGTCAATATGTTTCAAGTTATACCAAAGGGGAGAGATTCCTCTTGTTTTCCAAACAGTCTAGGTGGCCTGGGTAGTTTTCTGCCTGCAGCAGCCTCCTACCTTTGGTTTGTGCGCCTCTCTCCATGAGGGGGGATTAATTAGCCAGGCTAGAGCTAGAGGAGGCTGTCGTGACGAGCCCAGTGGCGATTGGCCGCCCGCCTGCCTGGCCCTGCCTTTATAATTTCCACACGAGTGCATCTGGGCTCTTACACAAACCAACAGCAGCTTCTTCTGACAGAAGCGCACACTCACCCGGACGCACACTCAGCACACTTTCCCTCCATCTGATGAACAGTCTTGCACACACAATGATTATGGGAAAGCGTAAATAAATACGGAAAGGGGTGATTATTTTGACTACTGGAAGAGCTTTCTGCTGGGGCTCAGCGCAACTTTTGTTTTTATAACTGAAAAGGTGATCTATCCCCGCGACTCTTTCGGGCTCGGATTTTTAACAGAGGAAAGAGACGGAGAGGGGGGAGAGCAGTCTTTCACTTTAAGACCGGCTGGGCTCACAGATAAAAGGCCGGGAGGCGGCTGGGCGGCCGCTGCAGCCGTCCGAGAAGCTCGGGTGCCTGGGGAGCGCGACCGCCCTTACTCCACCGAAGTTGGCTCCAGCTCTAGCAGCCGCATTGGATCCCACAGCTTACTGCGAGACTCCGGTGTACAATCCGGATCTCTGCCCCAACATGATCGCGGCCCAGGCCAAGCTGGTCTACCACCTGAATAAGTACTACAATGAAAAATGCCAGGCCAGGAAAGCTGCCATCGCCAAGACCATCCGGGAAGTCTGTAAAGTAGTTTCCGACGTCCTGAAGGAAGTGGAAGTGCAGGAGCCTCGGTTCATCAGTTCCCTCAATGAGATGGACAATCGCTACGAGGGCCTGGAGGTCATCTCTCCCACCGAGTTCGAAGTGGTGCTCTATCTGAACCAAATGGGGGTGTTCAACTTCGTGGACGACGGCTCGCTGCCCGGCTGCGCGGTGCTGAAGCTGAGCGATGGGCGCAAGAGGAGCATGTCCCTCTGGGTGGAATTCATCACCGCCTCCGGCTACCTTTCGGCGCGTAAAATCCGCTCCAGGTTTCAGACGCTGGTGGCTCAGGCAGTAGACAAGTGTAGCTACAGGGATGTGGTAAAGATGGTGGCTGACACCAGCGAAGTGAAACTGAGAATCCGAGATAGGTACGTGGTACAGATCACCCCGGCTTTTAAATGCACCGGGATCTGGCCGCGGAGTGCTGCCCACTGGCCGCTTCCTCATATACCCTGGCCTGGACCCAACAGGGTGGCAGAGGTCAAAGCCGAAGGGTTCAATCTCTTGTCCAAGGAGTGCCACTCCCTGGCTGGCAAGCAGAGCTCGGCCGAGAGCGACGCCTGGGTGCTACAGTTCGCGGAGGCGGAAAACAGACTGCAGATGGGGGGCTGTAGGAAGAAATGCCTCTCCATCCTTAAAACCTTGCGGGACCGCCACCTGGAACTGCCTGGCCAGCCCCTGAACAATTACCACATGAAGACTCTGGTTTCCTACGAGTGTGAAAAGCATCCCCGGGAGTCGGACTGGGACGAATCTTGCCTGGGAGATCGGCTGAACGGGATTCTGCTGCAGCTCATCTCCTGCCTGCAGTGCCGGCGGTGTCCCCACTACTTCCTACCAAACTTAGATCTGTTTCAAGGCAAACCCCACTCAGCTCTGGAAAATGCTGCCAAACAAACGTGGCGACTGGCAAGAGAGATCCTGACTAACCCGAAAAGTTTGGAAAAACTTTAGAGAATGATCTAATCAAGAGCCGACATGAATAATCCTCTCACAGTCCTAATGAAATGAAAACTTCCCATTAGATTACTAGCTAGTATTCCACGCGGCAGTGCAAACAATCTTTTCCTTTAAAAGGAGTAATAACACACGGTTTAAGCATCATCTCACACACCCCTCCAAGGGGAGAAAACATAGGAGAAGAATAGGGGAAAACTGAGCCCCACAAGTATTCCATGACTTCTTTACACAGGATCTCCCATCTCCCTTGAAAAGTGCAGGGCAACGCTGGGAAACAGTGCGGCTGAAATGCAAGACCACAGCGAATACTCTTATCAAAGGATTACAGCAATCCTGTCCGTGAGTAAACACGACCTGGATATGCCACCTGAAGGAGAGTGTAATGTATATTTTGATTTGTAACAAAAGTTGTGATCTCACATTGTCTTTGTAAGTGTGGATGTTGGTGTTTTGTGATTTGGTGAACAGAATTTAAATTGCCATTTTGGAAACTTCCAGACATTTTCCACCAACAGAGATATCATTTAAAGGTAGATTTCCTCCTGGTACTTTATATCTGTCTTTGAAAGTGTCTGAACTTTAAAAAGTTTACATTTTGTTCAAATATATTGCTTGTTCTATTTCTAACATTCCATAAGTATACTTGAAATGTTATTTAAATATATTCAAAGAAATTTGAATTCAGCTTATATAATAACGCTTGAATAACTGAATTATATATTTGAAAATGCACTTGAAATACACTGGATAATTACTTTTGTGAATTAGATTTTTAATTTCTGTTGCTGATTTCTATTTAATTAGAAGCTAATAAATGAAGTAAAATACCAAGTTGCTGTGTCTCACTTTAAATTGTTTTTTTCTTTCAAAAGACGTGATGCTTCACTGAAAATCAACTTGAGTATTTTAAACATTTTGACAAACTAATAAAATCACTAAAAAAAAGAAAAAACTTTAAAAAGGCTCTTTGTTTTGTATAGCCATAGAAGATATCCACCTCCTCTCAGTTTCTAACTTTCTTATAATTATGCTGGTTCTTTCTACAATCAACACACTTTAAAATCCACCTTTGAGATTCTGCTCTTCTGGTTAGTATTTTTGTAGCAATTTTGATAATAAAAGGAAAAAAATATATCATAACAATAGAGTGGCTGACTTAAAAAGCAGGAAATTCAGAAAAAAAATCAACTCAATAGTTATGATGAAAAATTTGAAATTCATATATGAAATCCAGGTAATAAAATGAAGATATCTTTTAACAATATATTGCCTCAAACCTATGTTATGCAATAAGGGTTTCATTAGAATATATTAATCAGAAAATCACAATTCCTTTTTACCACATAGGAAAAGCTAGTGACAAACATAAAGGCAAGCTTTTAATTATTTAAAATGCAGCACATTCAAACTCATTAAACAGTCTATTACTTTAAAAGTTAGAAGTGAAAGAAGTCATTTGAAATATTTTAATAATCAACAAGTGTTGAAATGGCTGATTACTGATGGCTTAAGTTAGTTAATTCAGGTGCTACTAAACTTTAGAATTTCAGTTGGTTATTTACAAACAACACTTTATAATGCTTTATTTTCATATATAAATTAGATCTAAATGACAAAGTTCTAGTTCAAGTATTTGAATAGTTTAGAACTGCCTCTGAAATTATTTTAAAGGAAGATTTGCAAAATGATGTTAGAATATTCAGTATGATACCTAATTATCTTGAATTCTTAATCTCAAAAAAGTCTGCAAATTTTACAGTGATGTAAATATGAAACAATAAAAGAGTGCTGACAGTAGGGCTTCCCACCGTTCAGGTGTTTAAAATTCACAGGATAAGGTCTAATCAACATTTATGTATTTCAGATTTCATTTATGTATTCCAAATTTGTCTTTTCTGGAATTACATCTAAGTGCTAGTATATATGATGTATGTACATTTAAAACCAAAGCTTCTAAAGAATCAGTTTCTATTTCTTTTAAATCCATATGTAAAATCCATTTAATTCAGGAGATGAAAAATGGATGTAATAATGGAGATGAAATTATATCTAAATGGCTTCCACCCCAGTTTCCTTATAACCTTTCAGTGAACAATAATTCACATTGTAGTAGATACTTTGGGAAGTGATCTTAACATAAAATTTCCTAAGGCTTGTCCTAGTCTTCCCAAAGAGACTCAGATGATGCACCCCAGGGGCTTGGGAGCAATTGGCTTAATTACCAAATCTGCCCAAGTGCACACAAAGGCACTCTCCCCAAAAGACTGTTCAAATGTGCAGGGTCTGCTAATACAGGATTTAAACTCATTAAAGTATTCTTCAGTTCCATGGGACAGCATGCATTATTTCATTCATTTTATTTTCTCTAAGAGGAGAATGTACCCACCTCCTCCAGTCATTTGAAACTAAGCAAAACTGAAAACCACTTCCTGCCAACAAAGCCACCAGTACTGCACACAGAATCACTTGAACTCACTTTTGTGTCGATCTTCTTGAAGGCAGGATCATCCTCCTCTACCTCGAAGTAGATTTCTGTTGTAGTAATGGAAAGAGTCCCCTTGGCCACCACCACAGGAGCGATGAGCTGGGCAGGGGTGCTGAGAACCACGGGGCCTGCAAGACAGGGGCAGGGAGTCAGGCTGAGCCCCTCTGGCCTTCTTAAGCTCCCTCCCAGCGGTAAGGCAGTTTTATTTTTAAAGATGCATTAGGAAAAATGGTGCCTATGTTATGTATGCTGCAAGGCCTTTCCGTGTTAGGTAATGTCTGTTTACCGTTTATACATGACCTTATAACGAGATAAATAATTTTTAAAACCCCAACAGATCAGTGTACCGAATAAGCGACCCCTAACACTAGAGTTTGCAACCTCTGCTACATGTTTGGTGAGGAGTTGCCAGTAAGCAACTCACAGCGCAGAACAGAATGGATTCTATGAAGCTCCACCACGGAGTATCACCAGCTTTCCAAGAGATCCAAGGCGGTGGGCAGTACCCCCAAAGACCAGCCACCCGGCACAAGCCATTCCGTTTGGTCACTTTGCTCCACCACGGTGAGGTGAGAGAGGCTAGAGGAAAAGGATCTAACTATAAATTCCAGTGTACTGAGAGTTAGTATCTTGCGGGAAGATATGATTTTTAATTTGGGGGTTCGAACGTGAGCCACATACAATGGCGGTTCTACGTGGACAATGAAGTTCTTACGTAGAAAACAACAAAGATCTTAGATGTCATTTTCTCCCAGCATATCAAGCACATGAAAATGTAAGTAAAACGCTGAAACCATTCCCAGAAAAAGGGATGGAAAGTGCTATTTCCAAACTTTTGGAACCAAAGGAACTAGGGTTCAATAAAAGATTTTTATCAAGTGTGCCTACGAGGGTACTTATTTCGATTTTCCCCAATTAGAGTACGAATTCAAGGAGGATTAACTTAAAATCCTTCTTCTAAAAACCCCCACAGCGGAAGCTTTCTTCGTGATACTGGTATTAACACACAACGTGAATGGGTGGTGCGTTTTGTTGCTGATATTCTGGTTCTGGGGAACAACAGAACCCTGCCCTATAATGACGACCCCCCCCCCCCCAG